CTCAAATTGGTCATCGTCACCTCAGAAATACTGCGCCACATTACAACTTCCAGGGATTTAGTCAGCACTAGAGCTAGACGGAGGACATGGACATAAATGTAAAAGTTTTCTGTAAAACATTTTCTTTTTTTTTATTATAGTAAAAACAGAAGCTGAGTATATTGTCTGGATAAACCTCACATTTTAAAAACATGAAAAGCAGAAATAATAACCTAATTATATCAGTATAATGAATTAAAGCACACTTTAGAGTCTACATTACATTCAATGTAGAACGATTTAGGTAAAGATATACAAGAATAAATAAAAATGTTGGAAAACTTTTTTCTAACAAAAAATGTAATAGAGGCTAACAACTTGTACACAACAGGCGCAAGAAAACAAAAAAAGCTTTATTAAAAGCAGCTTTTGCATTTGATGGAATACCATTGAATTATCTATGTCCTAGTTAATTGTGACTGGATTGGGAGGATTTGCAGTAAACAGTGTTTGTTACCTCAAAACAATAAAAAATAAAACAATGAGATTGCGCTTCGGAATGTAGATTGTATCATCCAAACAGTTCTGAAATTGGACTGTATCCTGACTTGATATGTAGTCATTCAGTTACTTCCACCATATCTTACCCTATTTCACTCATACAAATATACAATATAGAAATTAGAACGTAAGAATGGACCAAAGTAAAACAAAGTCAACAAAAAGAAAGACAGGAAAAAGTAACAAAGTTGGTTTAAAATGTATGACGTCATCTCAGTGTTGTCACTGGTTTAGACTTCTGAGGTATCCATAGTTCACAACAGGGGTAACCATAGAGTTCGTAAGTACACAACTTTGAGTAACAATCCTATTGATCTAAAATACCATGTAACACTGTAGATGGCACAACATTCAATAAAACATTTTTTAAAAGTGACGAATGTAAACCTTTCCGCTAATTAGGTGAGACATGTTTGTCATCACTGACATTTGCTCTATGAAAATAAGTAAACTCATCTTGAGGGAAAATATTTTGGTAACACAGGAATACATTTTACCTACTTACAGTAATAAGTAAGTCATAACTATGTAAAGTAACCTTTTTCAAAAAGCATTACAACAGTTTTAAGAAAGTTCAGTAGCACTCATTAAATGGTAGACTCAGTAATATGACATCATAAACAGCGGGAGACTTCCTGCTTAACACACACATTGATACTTAACCATAAAGGTCATAGCAGAATTTGTGTAAGCTGTGTAGAACATACATTGTTATGAAAACAGTGTTGTTATTGAAGCAAAATGCCATGGAGACAAACTTAAATTGAGAGTGGTCTGTTTTCTGACCAGCTGATACTGTTTGTTATGCTGTCATAACTATTTACGGTAACATATTTCATAAAAAAACTGTCATGATGTTATATATATTTGGCCATGCTTTGGACATTATGAAGGCTATATGACAAATTATTCAGCAAAACATGGAAATGTCATAAATGCTCATATATAAATGTTTTTTTTTTTTTTTTTTACAACAGGTTAACATATGCCCTTGTTACAATCTGTACTGATAGTTTGGTTTGTAGATGTGTTAAGTTAGTACAGTATATTACTAGTAAAATATTACCAATAACCTTTCTGGAGAGCAATTAGCCTTAGCACTTGGATCCATCAATGAGCAGTGTAACATTTTAACAAAATAATCAAATTCAGCCAGCAAATGCATTACTATGTAGCTACGTACCTTGATTCTATTTCCTTAAAATAATTAAAACCATTCAAGCAAGAATCAGTAAAATCAACAAACTGTAACTAAAACTGAACCACTTCTACCTAATGGAATCATATTTCTCTCTGTACACAAACAATGACAGATCACAAGTGTAGAACGGATGTCATTCAGACATGTTCGACTTGAGTACACAATATAATTTTTAAAAAACAATGTAGACAATTTGTAGATGGACACCAATTGAATAAACATGTTGCTAAATTATGATTATTGCACTTCACCATTCTGTCGGTGTAAAGCCATACCAGCAAAACTAGAACTACTTAACCAATGGTTTATACAAATTTTTGTATGACAATGTATTGGCCTACATGGACTGTAAATAAAAGGTCATACAATGCACTTGGTCCTAAAAACAAGTCCAGTCATCACTAGTCAGTAACCAGGTTTCCATCCAATCTTTCTATGCGAGTAAAGTACATGTTGGATAAAAAAAAAAAGTCACAACAGGCCTGATGGAAACAGAACATTTGTCGGTAAACTTTCCAAATGTCGACAAAATAAAATACGCTAGACAAGGCGGGATCTTTTTGTGTCTGTGAAATTAATTATGCGAGAAATGTCAGTGGAAACACTTATGCGCAAATATTGATTTAATAACCATCATTGAGGTAAACTTGGAGCCACGCGATGGCATGTGTGGTCCTCCCACTATGACTCACCGGGAAAGCATGCAGTTTATTAGGCTACAGATGAAATAAGTTATGATGAATGTCACAGTGTGGTGAAAGTGCAAGGTGATGAGCTTGATGCTGCTTCTCAATAAATGGCGAGGGTCTTATTCTGGTGACATGATCATCGACGCTTGGCTGCCATTTCACAAATAAAAATAATCTCGCTCTTTTGCCCATAATAACCTCCTGTAGGCCAGGGATGGGCAACTTTCAAAAAAACATTTTAGGAACTCAGTCGTGGTCTCAACTTACTGTTGCGAGTTAGACTAGTAGAATACACAAGGTGCAAATTCGAAATTTGGTTGCGCATCAGTTTTTCCCTTGTTATGTCAGTCACTGATAGTCAGTCCATTAACCCATTTCAGCAAAAAAATAGTTGATTGCCAAGTTAGCTGGCCGCTAAATTATCTAAACTTATCATGGTCAAATTACCGGCCGGGTGGCCCCCATTGATTTAGTTAGTCTCACTCATTTCATATTAAAAACTGCAAACATTTCTCTCCACACTATGGCAAAATGTGTATAATTGCAGCAAACTTGCTTTAAAACTGCAACATTTTCTCTACACCCCCATGGCAAAATATTTAGAATGCACAAAATTATCTCTGCTGTCGAGAGGGTGGGGCCACAAATGTTTTGCTCGCAATTTTATTTTGCCCCCACCCCATCAAAGTTGCCCATCCCTAATGTAGGCTATACCCACACTGTATGTGAGCTGTTGGCTAGATCACATGTCCCAAAACCAGAGTGGGCACACTGTATATAACACAGTATTTTTTTGGGAGAAACCATCAGTAGAGTTGAAAATGCTATGGAAACCAATGTAACTTTTATTCGGTAAATGGGAATGTAACCGCAAAAGGTATTTTTATGTGCATTACATCATCACGCAGAACCTTTTATCCGCAACAAGTCAATTTGATGGAAACATCTCAGGTGGGAAAATGCAATTTTTTTATGCAAATTTTTGAATAGTCACATGAAAATATGTCGCTAATTGGATGGAAACCTAGCTTATGATTAAAAAAACTGAAATAAACCCAAAAGCAATGACTTCAGAGATTATATGATGGACAATGGCAGCTCTTTGAATGAATTCACTTTGGTGTAAATACTGGGGAGGCTTCAACAGCAGTGTCTTTAGTTCTCTTACACTCAATTACATTCTGCACCAGCACGATGCCGAGACATTCTATATCATCAAATTGACAATAGAGAATACAGTGTTTACCTATTTTTTTGTTTTCACTGGAAGGTCACAAAGTTGGAATGCAGTGTCACATTGTTTTCGGATAAGTTTGGATATGCAATGCCTTGAGTATGAATTCAGTAGTGCTTAGTACCTACCCTCATAAGAGTACCTTTAAATAATATAAATTTGTATGAAGATGGCAAACGTCAACAGATAGGTCCAAATCATCCTAATGCCAAAAGGCTCAGATCAATGTCAGACAGGCGATAACATTACCTCCAGTACAATCCTTGCCTACAGTAAGAGGTGTGTAAAGGGCTGATTGGCTGAGTATGTGTCATAATCCTGCTTCTTGGTCTGAAGTGTAAACAGTCATTACTGCTCGATTCAATTAGCCCATCAAACCCTACTCAATAAACCATGGACTTTTCCTTTTTTACACTTAAGTTAACACTCAGTGTTTTGATACGTTTTAACACTAAGGCCATACAAAATCTATTAAATGTTTAACGGATATTTTTTAATTTTTTTTAAGAGGCGAGCAAACCGAACAAAAAAATAAGTAGCCCCTTTTATTAAAGACATGCTCCGGAACTTTGGCGACCACCAAGTATTTTCTTTTAAACCTCCCACTTTGGGCTGGATGAGTCAATGTGTAGTTCATACATGCATAATCTATGAGCAGAATTACTGTCTTACTTCAATTCGCCATGAAATCCCTATTTTTCTTGAAACTGTGCTACACCATTTTCCCCACGTGGGCTAGCCCCCTAGCAATTTGAGATCAACAAATTAACTTCAGCCCCTCGCCATATGAATGACAGTTAGCAAGATGCACCCACAGCAGAGCGAGTGACGTAGTAGGACATTTTCAGGGACCACTTTTGGCTTGTGAGTGCTACTTTCAGAATTACTGGCTAAAAAGTATTAAAGTGCTGGATAATGCCTTTAAAATACTAAAGCAACCTTAGTTTTACATTTACATTTTTGACCAATTGTGCACCGCCCATGGGTCTCCGGTCGCTGCCGGCTGCGACAGAGCCTGGACTCGAACCAGGATCTCTAGTGGCACAGCTAGTGCCTTAGACCACTGCGCCACTCGGGAGACCATAGTTCAACACCTAGCGAACTAATCAAGTGATTTTAGCCTAATGGGGAGGGGGGGGCAAAAATAGGCATAGTTCAGCAATAATCCGACAGGAAGTTGTGCATCATCTCATTTTGGAATTTTGAGGACTTTTTTTATTTTTTTAAATCTAAACATGCCATTTTTCAGTACGACTTGATCTTACGTTTAAAAAATAAATAAATTTAAGAGAAGTGAAGAGGGGCATCCGTTAAACATTTAATTACATTTGTATGGCCTTAGTGTTGAAATGCAAATCGAGCTTGATGGTGGTTCCATGTACACACAATCGCTTCAGAAGCTGTCGGTGTTTTTCCCATGTTATATGTGTGCGAAAGTGCACAGGTCTATTGTATACACTATTGTGAAAACGTGTCCACCTTGGGAAAACGGTCAGGCAGGAGCGGATCACTCTACAGCAACTGATTCAGAGGTTAGTCTATCTATCATTATGGGACAGCCATGGGGTTAGCTAAAATGCAAGTCAAATGTCAGATATTTATGTAGTCGGGTATAGTACTTCACTCCCCAATCATTTTCTGTTGGGGAAACTGGTGTAAACTCAAATCAAAGCATACCAAACATATAAAACTGTATAAGCTGCATCAATACAGTGTTTGTAAAGAAATCAAATCAAAATGATGATATAAAGGGGGTCAATCCCCTTCTCTTCATTTTTTTTGCTCTATACCCACAATACATTTTTAAATGGCTAGGATGGGACATAACTGTAACAAGACCCTATCTTTTGGACCCTACTTCTTTTTGGAGATTTTCCCCGCTTTCCTCTTGGGCTCGTAGGGTGTCCGTAGGATGCTCGGCGTCTCCTCCATAACGCGCACCAGCAGGTTATCAATGTAGTCTTCCAGTTCACGGATATGCGCGTCCTTCTTTTTCACCACCTCCTTCTGCTTGATGAGCTCATGCACCACCTCATCGAAAGATAGGTTGCTATAGGAAGCCACGCTCATCTGCTTTGTCTCCTGCGGGTGCAAACCACAGACATTATGAGGAGTTCAACATTGATAGCACCATTTACAAAAAGTATATTACTCCAAACGCGTCTTGAGATATGAGACAATTACAGAGACAGTTGTTTTCGATGAGGAATAGAAAAATAAAGCTAAATATAAATTAGCGCTAAAGCAAGATGGAAGGTGGGCTAGGCCAGGGAATCCCTCCTATTATGGCAGACAGACTAACTGCCTAATTAAAGGTGTTAGAAAAATGCATGGTGAATGCATTATACCCTGGTGGCAATCAGGACTAATTGAGAGCCTGTGACTCCACAGGTTTGTTAGCACTGTCAATGCCATTGTATTTCATTTCAGGTGTTTGATCTGCCCAAGTCACAATAGTGTTAATAAGAAAATCATAGATGGCTCGAACAATCAGGAATCCTATGGCAAGGAATGTGATGTTTTAGTATCTGTTTCTAGAAAATAAAAAGCTTTCAACCCCCATTCCCTCTTTAAATCTTAAAGCACATATCCTCCTCCCAAACCAGCCTAGACAGAGACCTTGACCAGCTGGTAGACAAAAGCATCACATTCAAATTAAACCATGCAGAAAACAGTAATTAAGACAAAAAATGTGGAAGCTGACTGGAAACGACAGAGCGCATATTTACGGAATTCACGGAACAAAAGGTCATACTAATGAACACGAAAAGAAAGATGCAACCAAACTATTTTGGAGGAATTTGTTCTTTAGAGGACCGGGTGCATCACAGTCTGTGCCGATCCCATTACGGGGGGGACAAGAGGAGCTGTAATCTTTTTTTAATGAGGTACCACATTATCGCTTCAACAATGGACATCGTCCCCCAGGCAGATACAGTCATCAACCTGTTTTAAATACCTCACTTAGTCTCCTTCCCCGTGCCCAAACCAAGCTGCCATCGCTGTGCGGTGTCTACGATGTGAAGAAGACCAAGTGCCGGACCACAGTTACTGTATCTCTTCCAAGTATGAGAAACAAATAAACTAAAATGTGAGGGTCCCATCCATAGAGTCTATGTCCAAACAAAAGAAGACTAAGGCGGGGATCACACTAAACATGCCAGCACTTTTATTTCCACTGTTTTCAATGGTATGTGGACATGCTAGGTGTGCTGCGCTCCTTCATCGTAGCTACGCTTCAAGTTATTTTGCTGTAGTTTTCTGGGCAGCCAAAGTTGAAAGTAGCTAAGTAATGTGCCTCACGTTTTTAATCAGAGAAAAACAGGTGGTGTGATTGGGGGTTTAGCAACTGCTTACTGTGGAAGTGAAAATGCTTTTGGAGACAAAGTTAAATTATACTGAGAAATAGGCCTTTTGCACTTCCAGAGAAATTGAAGAGCTGACAAGTCATGAAGACAACCAATTCCGCTGAGAGACTTTCCAAACATAAATCAAGTTACCAGCTCAGTTTCATTATACTGTACGAGCAATTGTGTCCGTTACACACATGCCAAAGAGCCCCAGACATTATATAAAGCTACAGCCAGGAGCTGTAGTGGCTGGTGACAGAGGCCTGGAAATGACCATCAACTACCAAAGTACTGACAATTATTCCGCAATCAGTAGTGAGGAGGAGATAAGGCGAGCACACTTGGCATTCTTACTGCTTCTAATGAGCCCTGCTTTGAGTATTTAAAAGATCCGTCCTTAAATCTTTCACTATCCTCCCCTCCTCCCTCACTGACTGGTTAATTAGCTAGGGCCTGAAAGCAGAGGAAATGGAACTGCCAGTTCATTTCTGCTAGTGCAGTGTACGGAGGGGCACATGTGGTTAAGACAACTCCTCAACGAGAGGTGAGGAAATCCATTATCTGCATCCGCTTCTCATTTCAACATCACTTCGGACGCTGTTCTCTTACCATGTTAATACTAATTCTGCAGTGTAATGGCCAGCAACTACTAGAATTAAGCACCATGAGAGCGTTCTTTCTTATTTTTTTCTTTTTCTTTGGGGGGGGGGGGGGGGGGGGCAGAAAGTGACAAAACTAAGGTGGCAAATAACCCGCCCTCATCAAACCAATGACAACTTCATACAGATTTGTCCTGAATAAAAAAAAAAAGTGTTCCAATTACGGTACCAGTACTTCACCTGACCTTAGAGACCGAAACATCACACTGTTTCAAATGATGAGCCGATCAGAGATGATGACCAGTGTTTTCAGCTGTTCATTAGTTTAATGACACTCATAGTGAAGTGTCAAAGACGGAACAGACATCAGCTCAGAGACCAACATCACCAGCTGCAATGTCAAGCGAGATCGGGGAGAGCTACTCAATTAAAAGTTGGTGTTCTGAACCTCAGAGCAAGTTCCCCAAAAAACTAGGCCTATGCTTTTCTTCTTCTTGTTTTCCCCCCCCCCCCCCCCTTCATTTTCTTTGAGATTAGTTCACAAAAAAGTGTGTAAATTATGATCTCTTACATGTTTCTTGCCGTGGTTCTCGCTTGCCTTTCGGATGTCTTCATTAGTGGTGGGATTTTTATCACTGCAAAACATCCATGCACACTGAATTACAAAATCAGCAAATACATCAAATCATATTTACCTGTGGCTGAGTGTTATAATACCAATAACCTGCCCACCATTGTTTAAACCACCACGTATCATCTGCCTTAAACCTAAATGACCACAGAGGTAGTGTATGATGGCCGCTGTTAAAAGCTGCATTATGTAACTTTTTGGGGGACCCTACCAAATTCACATAGAAATGTTACAGATCTGCATTCTTATTGAAAGCAAGTCTAAGAAGCAGTAGAGCTGTTCTATGTGGACTATTTCTATCTCTAGCGTTTCTTATTAGATAAGTCCAGGTAGTCCCTACCCGTTTCAGTTCCTTTTCTTCCGTTTGGTGCTTAATGAACATGACCCTGGCTTGGACACCAAACATGGTGGTGTGGACGTGAAAAGCGTTACCTTGCTTTGTAGTGTGAGAGGAAGGGGTTGGTTGGTTGGGTGTCGCCCTGAGAGTCGCTGCTGAAGGGGTTGGTTGTGCGCAGGTCTCCAGAGCTGCCCGAACACCCCCCGTTGTGGGTCTTGCGTCCCTCCTTCTTCCCGGTCACACGTTCCAGCAGGCTGACCTTCTCCTTCTTCTCCTTCTTCTCCCCTCGGTCCCACAGCTGGCCCTTCTCCCCCTCCAAAGGGTTGCGGTTGCGTGGGAGGGTGGCGTACTTCTGCGGCAGGCTGTCGCTGATATCAGTAAAAGGGTCACTGTGCGCCTCGTTGTCCTGGTAGCCTGGCACCTCGCCCTGGGAGCGCCTGTGAGGGGCAGCACCACTCCCTTTCTCTGTCAAACACAAACAATATACCTGAAATATTCATGGAAACAATTCTAAATCACAGGCAAAAAAACGATCGGTCCTTAGGGGTACTCATCCGATACATGTAGGCTAATCCAAGAAAATACTAAAATAGGCCTAATACTAGAGGAAGCTGCTGTCCTTACCCAGCTGCCCGATGGAGTTCATAGAGTCCAGCTTGGGGCGGAAGTGGGTGCCAATGAGGTCGGACATGGAGTGGGCTGCAGAGAGCGTATGGGAGCCGGCCAGTAAGGGTCTCTTGACCTTGGGCTCTGGCTGGGGCTGATGGTCCGGAGCACTGGGCCGGCGAAGGGTCTCCGAGTCACACATGGCGGAGCGGGGCAGGATGGCTGAGGAGGTGTCGGAGAAACCACCGTCGTGCTTGCGGCCCTTCATCTTGTCCTTGAGTTTGGTGAAGGGCGAGCGGGGCTTGTCCTTTATGGAGAGGTCAAACATGCTGGCCGTCATGTTGTTCCTCACGAACTGGATGCCGACCTGGATCTTCCCTCTCTCCTTCCTCTTCTTCCCTGGCCTGGAGTCCAAGGAGTACCAGCTGAAAGAAGGGAAGACGGATAATTATTAGCCATCTGTAAATTGTGTATGTGGCACATTAAAATGAATACAGGAATATAAGATTCAAAGAAAACATCAGGTGCCATTGTTGGGTGCTAAAACAAAGCAACATTTTTATTCTGAATTAATTTAGGTTTGTCATGGCAACAGTGGTGGATACGTATCCATCCTTTTTTAAATGAATACATTTTAAACATGTTTTCCAATATTGGTGTAAGTGGTTTAAAAATCGGTAGAAAATATAGGCCTATTATTTAATGCATCTAAATTCTAGGCTTTGCCATATTTTCATCAAGGTGATATGCTGCATCCATTTGGAGGTGAAAACTATCATTAAAAGGTACAATACAGAAATCTGAGAGTACATAACGGAGTTGAGCTGCTTCATTTTGAAAAAATTAGTAGAGTGGAGACCAAAAACTGTCTCAGTGTCTGACACGTTTCCCTGTGGAACAGCAACAACCCTTATGTATTCAATAAATGACTAGGGTAAAATGTCTGCGGTGGAACTCACCAATTTCACTCCAAATAAATCCACAGGCCACGTAATTTGAAGCTTTTCGCCTCCCTGAGAATGCATATTATACGAGGGATAAACATAATTCCCTGCAAACTGTAATCTCGAAAAGAATGTTGAATAATATGGTTCGTCGAGGCCATTCTGCTCCTGTTTGTTTAACCTCTTTGCTTCGCCTGCTGGAAGTAATACGATTGATGCCTTTGCTGTGAGAAAAAGGGGTGACATTTGCACAAATCTGACCTTTGTTCAGAACTGCTATGACAAGCAATTGGGAAATTCTAAAGGCAATGGTGCAGGACAACCATGCAACTCATACATGCTAATGAGAGTGATGGCTTCTCCATAGCCTAGGCCTAGCTTATACAAACCAAGGGTTTGTTGATTGCAGAACTGTAGAACTAGGAACAAACCTCACTCAAAATACAAAGTCAACATTTAAACCACCTCTCAAACAGCATAGGTGTTCTGGCAAATTCCACAATTCCTCAACGAGCACAACCTCTGTCTGTTCAAGCTTTAGTCTACTTCTGTCATGGGAAAAGTGGACAGAACGTGGACAGGGATGATATTTTTGGCCCTAAACTGTGCTCGGACTGAGTGGCCAAAGAACCGCCGTGGCATGGGCCTCTCTTGGTCTAGCCAGCCTAATTCCCATAGTAGTGGGCTCTGTCCTCTGAAGCATGATCTAGGAGCCACACAGCATGCTGCTGAGAGGGGGCCAGCCCTGTACTTCACATGGGTGTCAAGGCCAAGATAAACCTCCCTCTGCCTGGAACCACAATACTCCCACTCTACCCAGACCGCTGGGAAACTCCTCACAATCAACAAACACAGGTGTGCGATAATTAGGGTCTGCCTACTCCGATGTCAAGATGGACTCTCCTCCCCATGTGTCTGCTTGAAAACACAGCGAATGTACACAGCTGGCTAGCAAACTGGAACTGCTCTAGTATATGGTAGCACAAGAGTAGCCTTAGGCCTCTGGCTCATTCTATGCGAGTCAGTTGTGTGGATGACTAAATTCCAGTACATTGACATCTCCACATCAGCTCTGGACTTGAATAACTGCAAACCCTGGAGGTGCATCAGCTCTGGCACCTTAAATAAATACAACCATCAACAGTTGATGATGACATATCGCAATCCTCCCCAACTAGCGGGTAAAGAGGAAGTGTGGTAATGTGTTTGCATGATGAAATGTACTGATGGCTAATTGACACCAGATCCTCCTAACTATGTTCCTGTTCCTCGGAGCAGAATGTAGGCTTAGGCTACTCATCATGTAGGCCTAGCTAACTACAACACGTTGTGCAATGGTAATTCTACACAGCCAAAATAACTTTATGTAGCGCCCTGGATTGGGTGGAGCTGGTGTAGTGGTTTTCTCCATACATTCACACCACTGGAAAAACGATTATAATTCGAATCAGAATTAGTAACAAGACATGTCTGGCCAGCTCCACCACATTCAGTTAGCATTGGCTAATACCCAAAGGAACACACCACAATATTCTGCCGATGCCATGTCAGTAAATGCCAGTTTACCATCTCAATTCCTGTATAAGGCAAGAATAAGCAAGGACAGTATGGCCATTTGTTAATTGTGTGATTACTGGAATTGAGGTGGAACAGTTTGCTGTATTAGCACCTCTGCTGTGACAAGACCCAGAAATAATCTGATAGCCTGTTCACTGCTGTTCTCGCTGGACTAGTTCACCAACGACAAAGACTACACCCAAGTCAACTCAATTACACATCTTTCAACGAACACAATGGCGTAACCTATGTCACAACAAGACAGATGTACTGGCAACTTCTGTTTGGGGCCCAAACTTTGGGCCTAGCCTAAAGTGGAGAAATGGAGGTGGTTTTGAATATAAGAATCTTTATTCATACAATTATGCCCGCATGAAAACGTGTGGAAAGCTGACCACAGCGACACCATGGTGATTAGGGTCAGAACTCAAGACATGACCCCACCAGACCACATGCTCTCTGTGTGTAACAATTTTTTCCAAACCATCAGGTGATTTAGGCTAGTCTACCCTACTCTCTGAATCATAATCTGAAATATGAACATGTTCCATGGTATTTCTGCAGGTTAGCCACATGACATGAACAAGATAGTTCCGTAAATCCACCCTCCTTCCTACTCTTTGCTGTTCCTGAAACATCAAAATACAGAACTAAGAAACCAAAGGCCTAGCATTGTTCAATGTGACTAGGGAAGCTTTGTGGTCTGTGTGTTTGTGCGTGTGGAGAGCAGAGCAGAAGACACATTTCCTATTTAACAGTTATAAAGTTGTACTGTACTCAGGGTATCTGCACGTTCGATTACATTTAATTTAAGACCTTTAATGCCACTTGGAATGCAATTTAATGCCAATTTTGAGGTCTGCGCACGCCACACACCTGCTAATATTTCCCTCCAGAAATGACCCCATGTTGGGAAAAAGTAGTATTTTCAGGGCTGGCTCCTTCACCAAAGGTTATAACCTACAATGCTCATATTATCAGGCAGGTGTGCTATTTTAGCAACGTGCATTCTCCTGTAGCCTAACGGATATAGTAGCATAGTGGCTAGGCTATAGATGACTGAAGCATGGGGTTGCCCATCTGCATTTGTTTAGGCTACCCCAATGGGATAATCATTAGCTAGATCACAAACTCTAAGCATTTAGAATTTTGGCTTCGATACCAATACTAGCTATAATGATACTCAATACCATAACCAAATCGTAATTTCGTGATATGAAGCTTTTAAGTTGAATGTATTGGAAAATATCTACATTGGTCAGTCCAAAATTGCTTTTTAATTCTGTCATGGAAATAAATGTATTTCCTATTACCAAGTAATTTACGGTTTCCATGCCTAGACTGACATTTTGCAGTGCCAAGTAAGACATAAAAAAAGTTAGCTAGCTCATCTAAAATGGTGCACAGAGGTAGATAGCTCTAACATCTTGAAAGTGCACCTCAAGTATTATTTGATGTTCAATTGTTTTTCTTTTTTACCGCGGTGGCAACAATTAAGCAGCGGCACAATATAACAGAAACACTGTAGTCAGTTATGTCGCATTTAAGACTTTTGAAACATAATTTAAGACATTTTAAGACTTAAATCAGATAAATTCATTTAAGATTAAGACTTAAGGACCCGCGGACACCAGGTGTACTTTTGTTCTGAAACTTCCTTGAAAGGGAAAAATATTCTTTAGTTTGATTAGTTGGTGATACTTACTCAGTTTTCCTTCGCTCTTTGTTATCAAAAATCTCATTGAGATTGATGGTACTCTGGCCCAGGAATTTATCCATCCCCACCAGGGACCTGTGCATCACAATAAGGCATAGTTCGTAGATTTCTGGATTTCCCTCCAGAAGCAGACCAGGCAGTTCAAAGGAGGCTTCTTCTCTCCACACTGGGTTGAGTGTTTTCTCTGCCACAGATGTTGAGTACTTCTCTTTGCCCAGCTGGATGATAGCGTAGGCGTCGTTGGTGCCATGCTTACCCTTAGCTTGTAGGTCAGTTGCTTGGAGAACAGTGGCTTGGACATGAGTTGGGAACCACGTTTGTGACTGCTTTGCTAGTGACATGATCAGCTCTGTTTATGTGTGGTTAGCCATTCAAATGTATGTGCAGGTGAATTTACCTTAGAAAGTGATGACAGAGCATGCAAATATTAACAACTTATTTCTAGGGCTTGATGCCCATGTTGATTGGTGATATGTAGGTGTAGATAACTTACAGTGCTTTTTGGTCATATATTTACATGTACAGCTAGTAGCACATCTCGAAAGTCAGCAGCTAACTAATTCCTGCAGTCCATCTTACACACTTGTCTTTGGTGATTAACGTTAACATATCACAAATGTCCAGGCCACTGTTAGGCAAGTCATCTGAGAGCAAAATGGGAGATAAGAGTTACACATAGTAAGAGGTTGTGCAGGTTGACTAGAAAACGTATCTACTACAGATGTGCTAGTTAGATAGATAGCTATGATTGAAGCTAAGCAGGCTAGCTAATTTAGTTAACAAGCTAAACAGCTGACATCAATCACCATTTCCAGATTGGCTGAAGTAAGCTAAGTAACTATACAGCAGGGCTCTCCAACCCTGTTCCTCGAGAGCTACCGTCCTTTAGGTTTTTGCTCAACCCTAATCTAGCACACCTAGTTAATTCTAATAATTAACTAACGTTAGCTGATTAATAACTTGGGTTGGAGCGAAAACCAACAGGAGGGTAGCTCTCCAGGAAAGGGGTTGGAGAACCCTGCTATACAGCAACAAAAAAAAACAAAAAAAATGTTCTTCAGTTCTGTTGCATTTGTCATATTGTGACACACACCCGGTTATTATTATACAATAATAACGTTGCAAAGTAGTAGCATTGATTACTAGACGTGAACAGCTGATGTTGGCAAGCTAGCTAAACAAGCTTGCTCACTACTGTACCTCGTTATTTTCTCCAAACTTGCGACATGTTGCCATCCTGTAAATCCATTCGATTGTTGTTGGACATATTTCACAAATAAGCAATTGGAAAATGACTTATCGGAGCCTCATTTCGTTATTTTACAGCCTGCTAGCTAGTTGTACCAGCCCAAACTAGCTAACTTCCTTGTTGGTCTACTACATCCGCTACAATTACAGGTGAAAGTTCAAGCTCCTCCTCTGTTGCTGTGGAAACTAAATGTTTCAGGAGCACGCGCCATATCTTTAACGTGTCAAACAAGTTGTGCATGCCCTAGGTACACAGTAGGCTATACACAGACTTTGTTCATAGCCAGAAAAACGTCAAAACCATGGAAAAACCCTGTCTTTTCGAAAAAGCGGGTAAAATATGTCCATGTGATACCCATGTAGGCACAGTATATAGGCACTTGATTCAGTGATGCAGTTTTCTAAATTTGGAGAGTTTGTTCATGCTGAAAATGCAAAATGCATGCAAAATTGCTCTACAAATCAAATGTTTGGTTAGAGGGGTGAAGGCCAAGCATATAGTAAAGGCCAAGTATATAGTAATTGCAGTAATTAATTAAAACTAGAAAGTTAAGTCTTTATGATTTACACCCCCAAATCTCTGCAATGTAAATATATTGTTGCTTTTGCTCCCCTAAAATTAAAGGAGAAGAGGAGGCCCTGGCCAATGGCATTCCATGGGGGCTCAAACACCTCCTCCCTCTCACCTGTGAGGTTTGTGGATGTCTGGGGGTTGGAGGTGGAGGGGAAAGAGGGTGCACTTGAAAGAGGTAAATCACATGAACATGGTAACTGCTTTGTCTCCTGAGTGGGTGCATGGAGGTGCTGATAAGAGAGTTCATTTGAATGAATATAGACATGCATGTCACCCCACTTGACAAGTACATCTTAACCAAACACACCTGCCTATGTTGGTTAAATCGTCCTGCCATGAACAGTGCAGTATGTACATACCACAATCCCAGGGATGGGGCTGGGCCATCCATCACAGGGAGATTATTACTCTTATCTAGAGTGCATCTCTAAATGAAATGCTATGGCTTAGTGAAATAGTAGGCTGTAGCCCTATAAAATGCGCTTCAGGCAGCTTTAAATAAGGAGGTACATTTTACATTTACATTGTGTCAAGTCTGACTGCAAACACCAGAAAACAGCAGGGGAACCATTGGAGTAAGATGGTGTCCAGAATGACAATGTGAGGGATAACGCATAGTAGGCCACTTGTTGAGTAAGAAAAGCTAGCAGAAGACCATACACTACAAACATATAGTATAATGTTACACACAGTATAAGAAATCAATGATTCTGGGGACTTGGTGAAGATCTTCTTGGCTTGAAACTCAATAAATGTAGGCAAATAAACAACATTAATTACCAACCAGCTGCTTTCCCTGATCGATTCTGTTCTATGTTCATGCTTGCTCCGAGTGTATTATATATATATATATATATATATATATATATATATATGTATAGTGTATATACAGTACATTCGGAAAGTATTCAGACCCCTTGACTTTTTCCAAATTTTGTTATGTTACAACCTTATTCTAACATTTATTAAATAGTTGTTTCCCCTCATCAATCTACACACAATACCCCATAATGACAAAGCAAAAACTGGTTTTGTTGTATATATAGGAAAAAAAATGGAAATATTACAGTTACATAAGTATTCAGATCCTTTACTCAGTACTTTGTTGAAGCACCTTTGGCAGCGATTACAGCATTGAGTCTTCTTGGGCATGATGCTACAAGCTTGGCACACCTGTATCTGGGGAGTTTCTCACATTCTTCTCTGCAGATCCTCTCAAGCTCTGTCAGGTTGGATGGGGAGCGTCGCTTCACAGCTATTTTAGGTCTCTCCAGAGATGTTCGATCGGGTTCAAGTCCGGGCTCTGGCTGGGCCACTGAAGGACATTCAGAGACTTGTCCTTAAGCTACTCCTACATTTACATTTACATTTTTACATTTTAGTCATTTAGCAGACGCTCTTATCCAGAGCGACTTATTTTTTTCATACTTGCCCCCCGTGGGAATCAAACCCACAACCCTGGCGTTGCAAACGCCATGCTCTACCAACTGAGCTACATCCCTGCCGGCCATTCCCTCCCCTACCCTGGATGATGCTGGGCCAATTGTGCGCCGCCCCATGGGTCTCCCGGTCGCGGCCACCTACGACAGAACCTACATTGTCTTGGCTGTGTGCTTAGGGTTTTTGTCCTATTGGAAGGTGAACCTTCGCTCCAGTCTGAGGTCATGAGCGCTCTAGAGCAGGTTTTCATCAAGGATCTCTCTGTACTTTGCTCCGTTCATCTTTCCCATGATCCTGACTAGTCTCCCAGTCCCTGCCGCTGAAAAACATCCCCACAGCATGATGCTGCCACCACCATGCTTCACTGTAAGGATGGTGCCAGGTTTCCTCCAAACGTGACGCTTGGCATTCAGGCCAAAGAGTTCAATCTTGGTTTCATCAGACCAGAGAATCTTGTTTCTCATGGTCTGAGAGTACTTTGGCAAATTCCAAGTGGGATGTCATGTGCCTTTTACTGAGGAGTGGCCACTCTACCATAAAGGCCTGATTGGTGGAGTGCTGCAGAGATGGTTGTCCTTCTGGAAGGTTCTCCCATCTCCACAGAGGAACCCTGGAGCTCTGTCAGAGTGACCATCGGGTTCTTGGTCACCTCCCTGACCATGTCCCTTCTCCCCTGATTGCTCAGTTTGGCCTGGCGGCCAGCTCTAGGAAGAGTCTTGGTGGTTCCAAACTTCTTCAATTTAAGAATGATGGAGGCCACTGTGTTCTTGGGGACCTTCAATGTTGCAGAAATGTTTTGGTACCCTTCCCCAGATCTGTGCCTCGACACAATCCTGTCTCGGCGCTCTACTGACTATTCCTTCGACCTCATGGCTTGGTTTTTGCTCTGACATGCACTGTCAACTGTGGGACCTTATATAGACAGGTGTGTGCCTTTCCAAATCATGTACAATTAATTTGAATTTACCACATGTGGACTCCAATCAAGTTGTAGGAACATTTTAAGGATGATCAATGGAAACAGGATGCGCCTGAGCTCAATTTCGAGTCTCATAGCAAAAGGTCTGAATAATTATGTAAATAAGGTATTTCTGTTTTTATAATTTTTCAAACATTTCAAAAAACCTGTTTTCGCTTTGTCATCATGGGGTATTGTGTGTAGATTGATGAGGGAGAAAAACAATTTAATCAATTTTAGAATGAATATATATATATATATATATATATATATATATATATATATATATATATATATATATATATATATATATACTACCGGTCAAAAGTTAGAGAACACCTACTCATTCTAGGGTTTTTCTTAATTTTTACTATCTTTTACATTGTAGAATAATAGTTAAGACATCAAAACTATGAAATAACACATATGGAATCATATAGTAGCCAAAAAAGTGTTAAACAAATCAAAATATATACAAATAGCCACCCTTTGCCTTGATGACAGCATTGCACACTCTTGGCAGTCTCTCAACCAGCTTCACCTGGAATGCTTTTCCAACAGTCTTGAAGGAGTTCCCACATATGCTGATCACTTGTTGGCTACTTTTCCTTCACTCTGCAGTCCGACTCATCCCAAACCATCTCAATTTGGTTGAAGTCGGGGAATTGTGGAGGCCAGGTCATCTGATGCAGCACTCCATCACTCTCCTTCTTGGTAAAATAGCCCTTACACAGCCTGGAGGTGTGTTGGGTCATTGTCCTGTTGAAAAACAAATGATAGTCCCACTAAGCCCAAACCAGATGGGATGGCTTATCGCTGCAGAATGCTGTGGAAGCCATGCCGGTTAAGTGTGCCTTGAATTCTAAATAAATCACAGACAGTGTCACCAGCAAAGCACTCCCACACCAGAACACCTCCTCCTCCATGCTTTAAGGTGGGAAATGCACATACAAATTTCCACCGGTCTAATGTCCATTGCTTGTGTTTCTTGTACCAAGCAAGTCTCTTCTTCTTATTGGTGTCATTTAGTAGTGGTTTCTTTGCAGCAATTCGACCATGGAGGCCTGATTCACACAGTCTCCTCTGAACAGTTGATGTTGAGATGTGTCTGTACTTGAACT